AGGAGTAGGTACTGGGAGCATTGTTGATGTCTACATCCTGCCAGTAGGCGAATCCATTGGCCAGCCTAAATCGTTATGGTTAACAGAGACTCCCACAATACGAGTATGATCGGGAAAAGAGGGCTTACAGGTAAGTGACACCTCCTTGGATGATGGGGTCGGCAGTGCCATCCGCGAATTTGTTCCAGCTGTCAACGGTGCCAACGGTGACTGATGGGAACTGGTTCTGCACTTGTTGGATTTTACTCAGGAGTGCCTGCGCAGAGAGACTTCCGCGGTAGAGGACCTCAGAGCCCACGGTAATGGCAGACACAACATCTTCATTTCCAGGGACAATTTGCTTAAGGGCGTTGAAGTCCTGGTCGAAAGACTGATCGTAGTCCGCCCTGCAACACGCAATAAGTTAGTTTCACAGAGTCAACGTATATGTCTGAACCGATGAGATTGCCCTACCAGACTCCCAAAACGACTTTGAATCCCTTGGCCTTGGCAGCCGGGACGATATTCTGAGCCGTATTGCAGTCACTGGCCGAGTACGTGCGGACTAGAGTCGTCACACTTTTGAGGGCATCGAAGTCGGCTTCGTAATCACTCGTAGATTTGCAGCTGGAGTCACCATTTTTATCACCTATGGAGAGTCCCAGAGTGCCACTAGCAGACACGGCAGGGATGGCTGCCAACAGAGCAGGAAGCAAGCTTGAGGCACGCATGCTGAAAGGCGCGGTGATTTCAGTGACAGGTTTCAGGTGGTGGATACCGGTCGATGAAGCAGCAAGAAGAGCAGCTGACTAGGGAAGGACTGGATATATTAAGAGAGCGTGGGAAGTCAAGAACCTAGGTTTTGGCTTCTTTCAAAGAGAAGGGGAAGAAAAGGGGAATCTCTGTAAGAGGATGGCCCGTTCCTGGATATATGCAAGCAACCGGAATAGAAAGAACCAGAGAGGAAGGATTGGCAGTACTTAAGTAAGAATAGAAAGAGTTGCACGGCAAAACGTCAGAAGCCTATGGAGTCATACTTACAGTACAGGGTAGTACCTCCAAATAGATACCCTGGCGGTGGCCTACGAGACAAACGAATAGCTAGACTCGCCTCCCACTGGAACAACTCCGAAAGTCAATTGACGGAAGGGAACCGGCGCTTCACAGCCAGGATTCAGTCGCCGGAAGAGACCATTGTTGGAGAGACCAGACCTCTGAAGGGCCCGTCTACAGTGCCTAAGCCAGGGACGAGAGCCAGAAGGCGCCCAGTAAAATCGGTATACACAGGATGTCGATGGGGATCCGTTATCCACCCCTGCCATTCCGGGGTCTCCGGCTAAGATCTCCACTGCAGGCGCCAGGGTCTGGACCCTTGGGCCTCCCCAGTCCATTACCGCCCCCAAGTCGATTCGGCCTGTTCTTCTTTGCTCCATTCACTGCAGAAATATTACCGATCACACAGTTATTCCGGTCTTGCTAATATTCACCATCTCGCCGATGCAACCTGGCATCACTACTGCCAAAATTAAAACACTAGTGTCGTGGTGAGAAAAAGAAAAGAAAAGGACCCCCCACCTAAATTCTGCGAGATTGGCCTTCGTTCCGGTTTCAGGCCTTAACTATAATGTGAGGCGAACTTCCCATCATGTCGACGATCTCGTCTTCTCGAATCACTCTCCACTTTCACCTCAATAAATTTAATGAGAGATCATCTCCTGGTCGTCATCAATCAATCACCAAGCGTTCAGACCACAGATGATGTCACCCAGAGGGCCCTATAACGCGTACACCGATTTTGAACCCTGGTAATATGAGCCACGGTTCACGCAAGAACAGGCGGATAAACGACCAATATTGTTGCTGCTGAAAATCCCGCAATATTCTTTCTCCCATTTCCTGATCAATCTTTCTTACCAAAGAGAAGCTTCCTTACTCATCGCAGTGGCGTGCTTATTACCAAGGTTGGATCCCGCGAACTGTCTTGATCTAGACCGCTTACTTGATTGTCCTTTTCCCTTCATCCGGGTGAAAGCAGTATCTTTCTGCAGAGTCTTACTCTAAAGGCACCTGCGAGTAGTTACCACAAGCTGATAATTTCAGGCTCATCGTACTTAAGTCGAGGGTTCTGGCCATCTATATCGCGAGCAAACACCGGAAGGTGCCTCGCAATGAACGTTGCCCCATTCCATGGCTTTGTCAAAGACCGAAAGGGTGCTCCATTGGCAGTTTTAGGAAGGCAGTCAATTATCGAAGCCCGACTACCAAATTAATGAGAGAGAACATGAGTTGTCTCATTCAACTGACAATGAATCGTTTTGGCTCCTCTTCCATGATGCCGCTATTTCTCAGTATTCACGGACACATTGAAGCAATGTATGAACGTCTGTAGACGCCAATTAGCCTTCAGCGTGTCTGTGGTATACCCTTAGGCCGCCATAAAAGTTTTCACTCTAAATTTTATCAGATCAACACATAAAGGAACGATACAACTCTAAATATGGTTGATAAGAGAGAGTAGCAGTAGTAAAAAGAAGCATCGCGCCCTTCTAGACTCCGAACCCTGCCAGGACTAGTCTAGTTAGTGCCGGGTGATCTGGTGGTGGTCCGAGCGTCCAGAATTCCCAGCGCAGCACAGAGACCACCTTGCCCGTCGGGAGTCGAAGCACACCTAGCAAGCCCGACCACCACCACCACTTTACCTTGATCCTTCTCGAGGGAGAACTCCACCAACCTACTACCGGATTCGGAGTCGTCAAAAGCAAATTTCCTACCCACCATGCGATTCTCCGCAACGACCCTCCTGATCACGGCGCTGGCGTGGTTCAGCACCGTGACCGCACACAACATCCAGCTCCGGGCTCACTCCCGCGAATGCTTCCACGAGTCATTGCACAAGGATGACAAGATGACTGTCTCCTTCCAGGTCGGTGACCGGGAATTTGGAGGCAGTGGCAACCTGGAGATCGATTTCTGGGTAGGTTCCCTGAATAGCATACTAGCTGTCAATCTCCGCGCGGACTTTGGGGTGGTTTGATATCCCATATCAAGCTTCCAAACCTGCAAAACCAATCCGAAAGAATATAGTCGCTCACGTGTGATTGGAACAAACAGGTCGAGGACCCCCTTGGTAACCGTCAATACTACAAGCACGCCATCTCGTCGGAGGATTACTCGTTCAACGCGCACGCGGACGGCAAATACGTCTACTGCTTCAGCAACGAAGGATGGGCCTCGAACTCCAAGGAAGTCTCGTTCAACGTTCACGGAATTGTCTACGTCCCCGAATCGGAATTGGCGCAGGATCCCTTGGAGGCGGAAGGTAGGATTGAATACCCAATTATCGTTTATACAAATCTTCGGCGGCCGTCTGAGCTAACCGCTGTTGTTTTTCTGCATCGTAGTCCGCAAGCTCTCGGAGGCTCTGGCACAGGTTAAGGATGAGCAGTCGTACATTGTTGTGAGAGAGCGGGTTCACCGGAACACGGCCGAGAGCACCAACGCCCGGGTGAAGTGGTGGAGTATCTTCCAGCTGGCTGTGCTGATCGGCGAGGGTATTTTCCAGGTGTGGTGGCTCAAGAGATTCTTCGAGGTTAGTCAATCCTTTCTTCGTCCGTCTAGGTGACTATGACTAACGATGGGAACGTGTATAGGTCAAGCGTGTTGTCTAGAGTGATTATCTTACGAGCGTGATAATTGTAAAGGGCATTCTATTATACCCTTGGCCTTCTTCTTATAACTGAAATTATGGAGCTTTTTCTCTTTCTTTTCCAATGAATGAATAAGATCATCTGGATGATTCTTGTTATCATGGGATATACTATCTAAATGTACGAAGCATGTATACAGCCAAAAGTGAACCAGCGCAACATCAAAGCCCATTATCCCCTTCCCACAACATAAACCCAATGCAACGTAAACTAGTTAGCCCTATTGCAGATAACACACCGATAAGCATTTATCAGCACTTAGCAGCACAAGGTTACTCCGAACGGGCCTCCTGCTACCAATGTACCACCACCCAGGAACAGAAACCCCGCACGAGCCCATCACCCAAACAAACAATCCTGACGACAGAACCATGCCATCACATCACATTCCATCATACGATAAAAAAAATAATATTAAGAATCTGTCTTCATGTCTATACCCAATCCATCCATCTATCCTACAATTAATCCTCATCACATCCTAATAACCAAAACCAAATGAATCAAATAACAAACACCTCCTCTCTCTCACATCAACCACCCGACCCCCTCTTCTACCTCTGCTGGCGAAGACAATCATGCAACAGCTGCCTAAAAGGCGATGTCCCCTGTAGCTGGTGCCCAGTGGTAAGCTGTCCTACACATTGATCTCTTCGCACTCACGCCCACATCTAAACATATATTCTATCTATGAAATATAGTCCTCAACCTGCGTCCCCAACCCATCCCTCCTTCCAATCCTCGCCCCCATCCACTCATCGCAGATCTGCCCGCTCGGGTCCAAAGAGCGGTGGGAACTCCGCGCGATACCCTTCGGGTGCCATGTGAGCACGACTACGTTTCTTACGGGCGTGGTGGGGGTTCTGGGTACGTTGGCGTTGCTGGGGTTGCTTGCTTTGGGGGTTTGGGTGGTGAGGGGGGTGAGGAGGAGGGGCGGGTGGAAGGGTTTGTCGTCTGCGTCTTCTGGGAATGGAAATTGGGGGGTTGTAGTGTTTCCGCGGTGGGGAGGTAGGAGGGAGAGGAATGTGTGTATACTTGGGGGGGATGAGGAGGGGGCGGGAGGGGGGAGGAGTGCTGGTGGTGGTGATGGTGGGGAGGATGAGAGGAGGCCGTTGTTGGGGGGCGGGTGATTGTGTTTGTGAATGCAGTTACACAAGGGATGAATGGGATGGGTGGAGAGGGTAGAGGAGGGGTGTAGGTGGTAATATGAATGATATTCTTTATGTCAATGTTATGAAGATCTGACTGGATTCTATTTATTCAGTAAATTTTGTCCTCTGATTCTAATACTCTGCTAATATGATATTTGCAGATTTAGCCCTGGACAACCTGGCTGACGCGGTACTCGACTACAGTGGGCTTGCCCTTTTCAACGTTGAAGCGTCCCTGGGCGATGAAGACGCGGTTCTCGAGCTCCTTGTAGCGTTCGCTGCCGGTCTGTATTTTGTTGTGGTTTGTTAATTGGTATGTTAGTTATCCGGGCTTGTATGCGGTATATCTCACCTCGAAGGTAATGTGCGTGACTAGAGTACTAGCATTAGCCTCTGCTTTCATTTTGTGCGAGTAATAGACTTACAAGCACTGTTGAACGGGGTCGAGCCATCAGGAGCAGCTCCGGCGAAGACGGCCTGCACTTCGGGAAGCAGGGTGCAGACACCAGTGTAGTTCAGGTAGATGAGCTATAGTAGATGACTGGCGTTAGTTATTACTCTTGAGAGATGCGAGATGCAATTCACGTACATCATCGCCATCCTTGGGCCTAGATTTAGTCATTAGAATGGAAACGTACGCCTTCAGCAAGGTAACAACTCACTTGATAACACCATGCGCATCCAGACGCAGGTGCTTGCCATCGGCATCCGCATGGATGTAATCGTTGCCAACACCGACGAACTCGGCATCAAGAGCAGGGGAGAATCCAGGCGCACTCTGGACAGTGCCGCCGGTCATGGGCTTCAGTCATGCTGGATTGTTAGTGGGAATGGTCTTGTGAGAAGGAAAGGAAGAGTTGGTGGGTGCTTACGACGACCTGCAGGCTGTTCTGCCGAGATGCGCTGCCTTAAAGAATTTAGTCAGTTCTCTTGAGCTATGATCCTTGTCTACTCAGTAGATGGCTTGAGAACTTACCGACGCCTAGCGGAGCATCAATTGTGACCTATGTTGGGGGACACACTATTAGTTGTGTGGGCACGCGGGGGTTTTGTATTGGAGGCTGTACCTTGAAGGTGAAGGCGGGCTGGAGAGTAGGGAATTCGGACATTGTTGATTTGGAATAGATTGATATGATGATGCTCAAGAGCTATGTCAATCTGTATTATGTTCTGGTGCTTGCTGAAAAAAGTCGAGCAGCTGATAAATCCCGGACGTTAAGCCCCGCTCCTCGGTGAGGGGTCAGGGACGCACGTTCCACAAGCAACGGTCAGCCTATGGCGATCCCCCGAGTGGTGATACCCGGAGTGAACCTGATCGCCGCGAGTTAAGGTACTTCGGGCAGTTTATTTACTGTATGGAACTATAGAGGCCGGAAGAGTGACTACCAGGTTCTTCTATGAATAGTTATTAACTAGCAAACATCGGGAAGCTACTAAGCTCAGAGTCACATGCGTCGACAGTGGGGGTGCCAGACCTGGTTAATAGCAATTGATCAATATTTCTTTCTTCTGGAACTGTACAAACTACACATCCTGCTCGCTCACCTTCGTATTACGACCCGTTCAAGTCTCCCCTGTGAGCCAATGGCACACCATCAGGTGCTCTAGCCAACCGCAACGTCTCCTTACAGACCCATGTCTGCCTACCAGATGACTCTGGTATGTACGAGCTGTCTGGTTACCAAACCGTACCACTTTCCGTCACCTAATAATAAACCACTGGCAGAAACCACCCGACAATGGGGTACAGAAGCAGCATAGTGTCCTCCACTATTGGGTAGATCAGTACCACAGAGCCTATCACGACTATAATTGTTTATGGCTCGGATGACAGTGCGGCCAGCGCGTCTACCTTGGGGGTGAAAAAAGAACCCCAAAGTGCAGTGGATGACTAAGACCATCCGACAATCTGATTATCCGTTGCAGGCACGTGGGCCGTTCAGACGACGGTACAGGCTGCGAGTACCTTACATTAGGGGGGACCTTGACTGACAGTGCGGCGCATCTTTGCTGCTCCATACAGCGCTGATTTGTGTTTCTGGTATGCTCAACACCTGACGTGCTGAATTGATTCCGACTGATACCCCGGAGTCAGATGGCCAGAGCAATGTGTGTCTCTCGCAGGGTCAATATTTAAATGCCAGCCAAATCACCCGCGTTCCTCTGCTCTGGTGCTAGTTGATTGTTTCCCTGTTGGTCGGGTTCCAAACAAAACAAAGTGGGTCCACACGCTACCTCGCGCTTTTCCGCATCGGGGCGCTAGCTGTGACGTCGTCGACGATCCAGTTCAACAAAACTTCCATCTCATGTAAATTACCCCCGGTATCGCTATTCTTTGGTCTTGTCGTTAGCTTCGTTTTGGCTTTTTCTCACATCGTGTGTCGCGTGCTCACTGTGTGCTTCATGTCTGACTCTATTGATCAAGGTTAACTCTGGTTTCCCGCATCGTCGGGGATTCGCCTCCTACTCTCAGTCTTCCCAATGGTTCCGATTCGTCTCCTTTCAGCGCTCTCGCTGCTAGGAACCTATGTGTCTGCATTCCCGGTTGTGGAGCAGCAGCCTCTAGGTAACGGTCTTCAAGATGTGGTCCAGCTCGAGCCACCAAATGCCGATACGGAAGAGTCCTTCCGGGCACTTTCAGGCCGCTTCCTGCACATAACAGGTACATCTTTCACCCTTGGTCTACACGATGTCAAAGGCAAAAGCAGAGGAGGGACAGGCTAACCATTCTCAGATTTTCATCCAGATCCCCTCTACGAGCCCGGAACATCGGACGAAAAGAGCTGCCACAGAGGTGATGGCTCCGCCGGGTACTACGGCGCCGAAGAGACCGAATGCGACTCGCCCTATGCCCTCGTTAACGAGACATTTCGCTGGATTGAGAACAACCTCAAAGACAATATTGACTTTGTCATTTGGACCGGTGACTCTGCACGGCATGACAACGATGAGAGGAATCCTCGCACGGCAGATGAGATCGTCCATTTGAACGAATTCATGGTGGATAAATTCACCGAGGTCTTCAACGGCAGGGACTCAATCCCCATTGTTCCGACAATTGGCAATAACGACATCATGCCGCATAATATTCTCAAGACTGGTCCGAATCGGTGGACGAAGAAGTATCGCGAAGTCTGGCACAAGTTTATCCCCGAGCATCAACGTCATAGCTTTGTCGAAGGCGGTTGGTTCGTCTCGGAGGTGATCCCCAATAAGCTGGCAGTTATTAGCTTGAATACTCTATACTTCTTTGACTCCAATTCTGCCGTCGATGGGTGCGATGCGAAATCGGAGCCTGGCTATGAACACATGGAGTGGCTTCGCGTCCAACTGGAGATGCTGCGGACACGTGATATGAAAGCTATTTTGATAGGTCATGTTCCTCCGGCAAGGTCCGGCAGTAAGCGCAGCTGGGATGAAACGTGCTGGCAAAAATATACATTATATGTGAACAGATTCCGTGACGTCGTCGTCGGCAGCGCATATGGGCACATGAATATTGATCACTTCATGTTGCAGGATAGTCGAAAAGTGGATATTGCTGCCAACAGTGAGTCTCCTGTCTTGTCCGATCTTTACGACGGCTCGGGAGAGATCTCCGTCCAGTCTCGTTATGACTATCTTTCCAGTCTCAGGAAGGACTGGTCTAGCCTACCGTCCCCGCCTGATGGTATGCCGAAAGGCAACTTTTTGGCAGACGAATGGATTGAAAAGGAACATGAAACTTCGGCGAGCTCAAAGAGCTCAAAGCCCACCAAGAAAGAGAAGAAGTTCCTCAAGAAGATTGGCGGTCCCTGGGCCGAGAGGTACAGTGTGTCGTTAGTGTCACCGAGTGTGGTGCCGAACTTCTTCCCTACGCTGCGGGTAGTTGAGTATAACATTAGTGGCTTAGAGGATACCAAGATTTGGGCCGACGACTCTGCCTACAACGACTTGGATATGGCGAGTCCGGAGCACGACAAGAATGGCCTTTTGGCCGAGAAAAAGAAGAAAAAGTCCAAGGACAAGGTTCCCAAACCTCCATCGCCGGCTGCGCCTCCGGGGCCGGCATACTCTAACCAGGCATTGACCTGGCTTGGGTACACTCAATACTATGCTAATCTGACCGAAATCAACCGGCGAATGGCCAAACGTCACCAAGTGTCGGCAGACGACCCGTCTAGCTCCATTCATGACGATGATGCTCGTGAGCTCAAGCTTGCAGATGTCTTTACGTTCGAGGTTGAGTACGATACGCGACACGACAAGATTTACAAGATGGAAGATCTCACCGTGCGGAGTTTCTTCAAGCTGGCGAACCGGATTGCCAAGAACAAGCTGAGTAAAAGCGACGTCTGGGTTGCAGATGCGAACGCCGAAGATGCTCCTGGTACCGTCGATGACAGCGGAAACGAAGTAGAAGTGGAAGGGAAGAAAAAAAAGAAGAAGAAGAAGCCTAAGAAGCCTAAGAATCGAGTATGGAGAGCATTCTTGGAGAGAGCTTTTGTCGGAACTCTGGACCGTGACGAACTTGATGACATAGAATAATGGTTTCTGCTTGCCTGTTCACCAGCGAGTTGAATTGGAAGTATACGACGTTATGGCTGCGACGTTTCCCTTGCTCTTAGCTTATCTGTGATGCTGCAATGTATATAGTCTTTCTAGTTTTGACCTTGGATAGTGGTCATTTGGTGACCACTATTGGAAATAGATCGCTGCTCATTGCTTCCACTCATTTGTCCTTCGGAAGAGGCGGTGGGGAACTGCCGCGGCAAACTGTTGCAGATGCAGGCTGTCGGTCATCATTCCTCCATCCACCCCCATCTAACTGATCAATCAGTCCTGTGCTTGTGGTATGACAGAGCCACTGATATCATCTCCTCTCATCTCCAGTTGTAATCGGAATTGATCGAGGGGGCCAATCTTCCACACAGCCCCATGGAAGACGCACAGATGCTTTCGATGCCACGCTGGCAGACGGCCGCCAACTGTCATCGTCCAGTGCTGCCGCCATTCCCATGCAAAAGCCAACGCTAAGAAGCGCGCGGGCGCCGAGTTTCCACGCTTGCAGCTTAGTTCAGCGACCCAGCTCAGTGGCGGCTCGCTCATGCATAGAAAGATGGGTTTGGACCCGCGCTGGGCCTTTCATCTGCAACACTGCTCGCAGACCATGTGTGACTTTTGGCTGCAAAAAAAAAGAGGCTGGCGACAGCTGATCCACTGTGCTATTCCTATCTCATCCTCCCCGGCTGGATCGAAAGCTGCACGGCAGGGGAAATCAACAGTTGGGCTCTGACACGTATCGAGCTAACTGATGCGCTGTCCTTCCGCCTAATGCCTACTAAGTCTTAGGGACGGGACCATCATCCAACATGCCACCTTGTCCTTCGTAATTCCTTTTTGATCTCGGTGATGGTGGCCACCCAGGAAATGACGTTCCTCACCTTGGCTGCAATTGGTGCCCGATGTCTCATCTCCGCTCAGAACGGCGGCGAGGGCAGAATAAAAATTGACGGGCACAGCAGGAACTAATCAAACATACCGGCGGTCTTCTAAATGATCGTATCTCCCGGAATACTCCCTCTTTCTACAGAAGCGGGGATCCATTCGCCCTATATGTATAGTGGAGCTTTGCCGCACTGATTCGCACGGCATTATACCTCCGCACTGCCGTGCCTTCATCCACTTGATTGTGGCCAGGGAAATATCAACGGGGCAGATAACTTGCCCTTGCATCATTATTGCTCCGCACATTCATTCATTATCGCTCTGATCCCACATCCTCACGCAGCTGCGACCGGAGTGTCCACACTCTAATTGGGATGAGCATTGCCTTTCAGGAACTTGACTTTTTGTGGTTGCATCTTTTGTTGCCTTACCCACGCAGGCTTCGTTTATGAGATAGCGATTTCAGGCCTCAAATTGCTGTCATCACTTCCGGCCCCAAACTCGTGGGCGGTGCCCGCCCATCGCTGGCAAGAAGCACAGACTAACGCCTTACTTCGCCTAGTTGCACACGATGCATCAAGACTTCCTCCTATTTCACAACGACCAGCTCCTTGCCATTTGTTGTTTCGAATGCCCCCTTCCCCGTGCCTTGCATTTCTAATTCCCATCTATACCCTTTTGCGCTCTCACGCCCGCCTGACTATCAATTTTTCTGCCAGCATAACCCTGCGTGCAGAGCGGTTGACAGCAGGCTTGCTAAGAGTCTTCGTCTAGAAGAACTGTCTGGGTGGATTCCTTTTCGGATTAACTTTTGCTATTTTAAAAGCTGATTGCACTACGGAGTACACCCGCAATCTGATTCTCACTGATACTCCAATTAAAGGCCACTAATTGCTGACATTTGTAACATATTTGCGTTTGCTTTCCGGTTGAAATTGGCGGCTTTGTGCTTTCGATCGCTAGCAGTCTCTGTGCATGTACAACTGATCGGCTATTCAGTCCTATTCGGAAGCGGCACTGAGAGGCGGAGACAAGCCACAGATACGACGAGTCTGATTTTGAGACGGGCGCATCCAACGAAAGCCTGCGATTGCAATTGAAGATCTCAATTGGGGGACTGACAACCTAATACCTAAACATATCGAGGATTAGGCGCCAACACGAGCATGGGAAGCTTTGGTGCATGCGACGGCTGATCCATTTCTAACAACCGTTTTGCGCGCGCGTCCGAGGTAAGGCTCCCGATCCCTTGGCGCTTTGCATGTTTCACTCCGATGCATCTACTGTTTATATGAGTGCGGTGGGCAAGCTGTGCCCACCGACTGAGCATTCTCAACCGGCCCAATGCTGTGGGATCGATCCTCCCCTCCAAAGTTGTCGCTCGGTTACACTTGATCGGAGCTTGTTCTGTTATACACCAAACCATCATGGATGTGACTAATTTGGCTGTCGATTGTCCCGTTATAGAGACCGGTTCCCTTGCTTTGTGGATGGCTTCCTCCGAAGTGGACCAGAAGGCCTTGGGCAACTTTGCGGCCATAACGGGCCTCGAGAACCCGTTCCTGTCCGCGATGCTGTACAAGATTCTGGGGTTGTCTGTTATGTTATCGAAGAAACTCCTCCGTGCACGACGATTGCGGCGCCTAGACCCCACCCGAGAGACTAAATCGCTTCATCTTTATTACCATATCATCTGGCTTTCGCGTGAGGGTCTTCTGATATTAGAGGAGTTCGTCCTGCCACTGGTTGAGGGATTTATGGAACTCAAAATTTTAGCTTACAAGCTGCGCGCCTCCTTTTACCATATATTCGTCCTATTTCAGAACCAGCCTGCTGTCCACTCGCCGGGTATCGTTAGTCTGCCGAGTAGTACACCTTTATCCAACGGCGTGACAGAAGCGGAGTCACCATCCAAGGATTCCAATTTGAGATTTTCATTTCAGCTGAAGCCCGACACGATAACGGTTTCCGGGAAGCCCAGTTCCGCCTCGGATAGTGCGCCACGAGGCAAGGTTACGCAGGCACCCCCGGGCTTTGCGCCGGTTCAACCGCCCAAGTCGAACTCGGCGTTTCTCCTCCCTGCTCTCGATTATACCCCTACAGCTACCGCATGCTTCAATCATGCCGCCCTCTTGGCAGATCAATTCCTCCCGGGGTCGCACCCGCTCCGTCTGTCCATCAAGCTTGAATTTGCCGCCTACCTCTACGATTGCCTACATGACGCTCATGCCTGTCGACGGTTGGCCAAGCAAGCCATTGCCGATGTGTACAATGCGCAAGAGGGCATGGACGACGAGAGCTTCGAGGATGCAGCTGAGATTGTGGGTATTTTGGGCAAGATGGTGAAGCGGGGAAGGAACACAAGCAGTGCTGGAAATAGCACCACGGCTGTGAAAACGCCCCAGGAGGAGCGAAGTGAGGGCAGTCGAACACCATCCTCTCAGACAACGTTGAAAAGGCCGGCGCGAGTGCCGAAAAGCACCTCCTCACCGGCGCGCGCGACCAAGCCGACGACTAGCGAGGGGATGTCCCCCGCTGTGCCCGACCCCACCATGATGAATCCCATATGATGCCTTTCCCTACGACCTGTATATGCTTCTTCTTGGAACTATGGAGTCGCGCATGAGCGCTTGGCCTGTGACTTCTACTTGACTTGCACCTGTCTGTATCATCTCGGTAACGGAGTTGCGGCGATAGACTGGAATTGGGCATCAGCTTGCGGGGAGCTGTGGAATGAGCGATTAAGCGCGACAAAAACTTGAGGTGGAAGGGACAGACCAGCCAATTTGTGATGGTGACTGTAGATAGATAGATGTGTGCAATACAAAGTATGTTGTTGATGTCATGCACCCCACTTGTGTATGCTTGTCTGGACAATGGACCTACACTTAGTCGCAACAACTGTATGTCTCAAGCCAATGGCCATGGGGCAGGATGGATCGATGGATCTCTTGTTGATGTTGCAGTGGAGGCCAGCGCATTGTCGCCTGAGGCAACCCCCCACCCAGGGTCCGGCGTAAAATACCATACCGAGCGAGACGAGATAAATTACCGGCGAGGCAGCAGTTTTCCCATTTCCTCCTGAATGAAGATTCAGGTCATATTCAGCGATTGCTGGATCAAGAAATAGAATTGACTGATGCCTGCCGGGGGCAACTTTAATTGACTGCCCATCACACACAGCAAAAAAAAGGAAGAGTCAGCACGCAAACGGTCAATCTGGTTCTATAGATATTACCTTTTTTTCATCGACGGGGGTGGATTACGACGACGACCCTTCTTGGCGCACCACCCGCGAAGGCCATCATCGCCAGCAAGAAACCTTTAGCATTGCGACCCTTTGGGTTCTGTCTTTTACGTCATTCGACGGTGATCATCTCCTGCAGCATCCGGCAGCCATAGTCTTTTTTTCATCTCCAGCTGATCGTGCGCGCAAATCAGATCCCCTCTTCGTCCTCCACGTCGGTTCCCCCACCATCATTTGTGTTGTCTTCTCTTCGTTGCCGGGGGCTCGAGTGCAAAGGACGCGCCTGCTTCCCGACCGTCCGACCGCCTGATCGACATCATCGCCCAGAAGCGAAGGACGCAGATCCAGCGCAAGACCCTGAAAAAAGAAACACACCCGAACGAGGTCCTGCCCCAAGGCTGCGCGCGCAATCACGCCTGTCAGAAGACCCGTAACGAGCCTTGCGACGCATCTATACTTCTTACTTACTTGCATAAACCCTCCGAAGCTTGATCTTTTTTCCAATTTCCAATTTTCTCCCTTTAATTTTTTTGGATTCTCTCGCTGGCAATGAAGCTGTTTGTTCCGGAAGCCTCTCAAGCACGCGGGATCCTCATCGGCTGTTAGAAATACCTCTTTTCTCTCCGAGGACTGTGGATTGGAAACCAAAGTCAGGCCTTGTTGGTCGCTGACTGTGGATAATGCGGTCGGGGCTTCAGAAACCTGGGGCCATTCCGTTTCTTGCTCTTTTGGTCTTTTCGCTATTTAGTCTGGTGCCGTCGCTAGCAAAGGAATGGGATTTGTATAACGTGCGCCTGGGGTATATTGGCTATCGCAACGATGTTCGACGTATGCATTCCTTATTTCTTCTTCTTCTTTTCCCCTCCCCCTTTTCTTCCCCCCATGTGTTTGGCTGAGTCAGACAAAGCTAACGGTGGTACTTCTGCAGATGTCTCTCGGGTAAAAGATAACTGGGCCGATGTTCGAACAACAAGATCTCGGGTTTCTGGGACTGGCTGGAAGCCATGGCTTCTAGATGGATATTATCAGGAATTCTATGAGCGCAAAGCTCGTCCGCGACGTTGTGCGGTGGACGCGCCCTCTCGGAGCTCCTTCGAGGCTGCTGCCGTCTTCGATACCGATCCTTTGGCATTTCCGGCCCGAGAATCCTCGGCTTTCACTCGGGGGGTGCGCGCGTTTAAGGCAATGGTCATCAGGCAGCCGGATGAGTCGCAATTACTTCCGACATTCTCGGCGGAGGCTGATGCCATTGAACAATTACCTACGCGGCTAAGTGCGCTCGTTAATTCCTCAGTTACTGCGGCTGCTCCTCCCGACGGCGGACTTTTCGGGGTGTCGCCTACGAGCAATTCCATGATACCGGCCACCAGCAGCGTGATTGAGGTATCCCGATGGTTGCTGGGGTTGTCCCGTGCCTCATGGCAGCAGGTCTGTCGCGCGGGGAGCGAGTATCTGGAGAACATGCCTGCTTGGCCTAGTCTTCGCGAAGCCAGCCAACCCATCGACCTCTCACGACACGACAACCACACCACCTCCTCTCATCCGACAGTCCCACATAACCACGTGCCCCGCGAACAACCTATACCCCCCAAAGCAGTAGTCGTGAATCGCAGCGACGACGTCGATGACACCAGTCATTCCGCATCAACGCCAAGCGCTACGCCGCCCCCGCCGGCGCTCTCCCAAAACAGCACCGCAACGACTGCTGGCCAGTCCAAAGTTGCGGGATTCCAGCAGGAGACAGAGCACATGCGCCGGGGAAGCTGCATGGCCATAGTGATCGGCCTAGTGGTGGGCGTGATGTGGTTTTAGCACCACCTATCTATCCACACTCCAGTCATAGGATTGGCTGGCTGGCTTATTATGATTCTTTGCAGATTTTTGCTTCCTTTTTGCTCCCACTGTATTTGGTTCGTTGTACATCACTTGCTGGGGTCTGATGAGACGCCCATTTGTTCTTTCATGCCTTTACGACTGTTGGACGGAACGGATATAGGAATGGGATGGGATGGGATGGGCTAGACATAGGAGCAGCCCGAACTGGCCTGTCGAATGCAGTATGCCAATCAATATATAATAATTTCATCATGCGATACAGCAGTGGTCCTCAGTGCGTATATACTAGTAAGTAGGTGCCGCGCTCTAGGTCGGATTCGCGCATGCTACCAACTTACTCAAACCCCACGTATCATTTCGTAACCTCACATTCCTTAGATGGGGACCATAGATGTACTACTATCCACCATCGTACTGCCTATATAGTACTACCCATACAACCACCCCGCACCGCACCGTACTACTTGCCATCCCATCTCACCTCACTCAAAAGACCAAGCTTAAAGCTAACGACCAACTACAACGAAGTACTACTACCCACCCTCTTCATCCTCATCCCATGCACCACCGCCAGCACCCCAATCACCGCCACGCATTCCAACACCACCGCGAGCTGCCACGACCTCGTCAACGCCTCATTCAGCACCACCAACACCGCCCGCTTCCCTTGCCCGGACAACCCCTCCGTAAGGGTTGAAATCCCACCAGACAATAACCTACTCACGTCAAGTCCACTACCCACAGCGGTCCCTTCCAACCCGGCACTCAGCTCATTCGTGAAGAGGGCTTGGGCGACGGCAACAAATATAGACCTGCATATAAAATCGTGGAGTTGTCAGTTAGTTTTCGCCTTGGAACAGTGATAAAGAGGATTGGATACATACGCTCCCACTGTCTGCGAAAACATCACCAACCCCGATCCAATAGGAATATCCTTCAACGGCAGTGCCTGCTGCGCCACCATTAACGGGGTCACACTACATAGACTCGACGATATGGCGAAGATGATCTGATATCCGATCCATTTCCCTGTGGATGTGTCGACTGTGAAGGAGGTGAAGAGGCCGGAGCCTATGGCGCCGAAGATCGTTGCTATTCCCATGAATAAGTCCGGGTGGCCGACTTTGGACATTAGGATCCCGCCGGCGAGGGAGACGATCGTGCTGGTTATTACCCACGGGAGGGTCCAGATTCCGGATTGGATGGGGATGGCGGATTTGACGCCTTGGAACCAGCTATTTCAGGTCAGTTGGTTGTGGGGGGTGTGAGAAGGGAGAAGAGAAAGGGAGGTACATGGGGAGGTAGTAAGTGAGCACGAAGATGGCGCTGACTGTGCAGAAACCAAAGAAGGATGCTGCTGAGACGGTGCGTTGAGTGAAGACCCGCGAAGGGAGCATGGCTTTGGGGCCTTGCCAGATTTCGACGCTGATGAATGCAATGGCGAGGATGCCTGCTAGGACTAGCAGTACGATGATACGGGCGTCTTGCCAGGCGTATTTGAGGCCGCCCCATTGCAGGGCTAGAAGGAGGCAGACGATGGATGGAAGAAGAGCCACGAGACCGAATAGATCGAGGGTCCTGAGGAACTCTGTCCAGGAGGTGAAGGCTTCGTGGTCTCGTTTGGGCGGATGGACTAGAAGGAAAAAGGCAATTTGGATGACGGCGCCTATGGGGAGGTTGATGTAGAAGTTCCACCGCCAGGAGACCTTTTCAGTGAGAACACCTCCGATTAGAGGTCCGAATGTCGTGGCGAGTCCGCGGGAGCCTGAGAGAAGACCGAGGATGATAGGGCGTTTGGCTGGGGCGACGAGGATCGGGACGAGAGAGAAGGCAGCGACTAGGAGACCTGAGCAGCCTACGCCGGCCAGGGCGCGGCCGATGATGAGGGAGTGGGAGTTGGGCGCGGCGCCGCAGACGGCGGAGCCTACGAGGAAGAAGAGCATTGAGATGCTGTATATCCAGCGGACGGAGTAGCGGGCGAGGAGTTTGCCAAAGAGGAGTTGGGTCGTGCAGATGAGCATGGTGTAGACGCTACTGTACCAGCCGACATCCCCGAGAGAGTGGAAGTCGTCGGAGATATAGGGCGTCGCCGTCGCGATGATGGTGCTGTCCTAGATGTAGGGTTCGCGTGTTAGTGCATGTAGTACTCAGCTTGGAGAGGGCATACCAAGGTGACGAGGAAGATTGCCAGACACAAGGTTGCAACTGCGAGATAGTATTTGATCCCTGATGGGTACTGGGGAGCTGGAGCTGCGGTTGTTGCACCTTGATTGTTGTCTTTGGTCTCGTTCTTGTCGGTGGCCTGTTCTTGGGGCTGAGAGGCCTCGATGCTGCGCAGAGAAATGCTGTCGGATCTCTCCATATTGGAGAGCCTTTGATATGAACGAAAAACGAGTGAAAATTAAACGAGCGACTGATTGACCGACACACTAGATGAGCGAATCTTTTTGACCTGACATGGTGAGTTCAGGGGAACAGCCCACAATAACAGAAATCGAGTCACGGCCACACCACGCGTCTAGTCCCCATCCTGGCTAGCAAGGCTGGCAGGGTTCAGCACAAACTAGCGAGAACTTAAGAGACAAGGTTATGATAGGTAGGGAAGTGGACAAAGAACCCCGGCAAAAGCAACTAATCACTGCATCGGATACTTCCCCGAGGTAACATTCGGGCTTTCAGTCTGCCTATCAAGAATATGAGGGTGCTGACAGAACTGATTGCGTTGCCAGAGATCATGAAGCCGAGTATATCATCCTTACCATTCTCCACCGCGTGTCTCACTAAATGGAGGAGCGATCGAGGGCATAGAAATACCCCCGCCTATACTAGTATACTAGTGCAGTGACACCACGACTATTCCCCACTATAATTATTAGGCATCTGGATGTCATCCAGCCACCGTCGATCTCCGTTGCCATTGCTGGCATGGTGTGTCGCCGTATCCCAATGTCCGAAATTCCTCCATTAGTGGGAGACAGCGCTGCGCGATCGCCGAGGATGACAGATCTCGGTTTCTGACTCGCTTCGATGTGCTATGCTAGTCTCCAATCTAGAACTCGATGGATAGAAGCCACATACATACCCAGTCATCCACCATAGCTGCTCAAAGTTACTGCTACAGTGTCATCTTATCAATGATGAAACGAGACATACCAAGCAACGTCCACATTCCAACCCCCGCAGCGAAAACATCACCAGGAATGTGCCCGGGCAGGAGTATATAAACCCTTCAGCATTCATGCTACATCATGTTCGCTCTTTCTTCTCATTGTCCAATACTCCTCCATCCAGTCTACCAGTGTACAAGAATACGTTTATAGCAATGAAACCTCCCACTATCTTAGCCACTATTATCACCCTAACCCTAACTGGGCTGTCTGTGGCCGATAAAACCTGCACCCCGAGCTTTGACTACTGCTCGGATGTGCTGTTGAATTCCAAGGGTAAGCCGCCGTCAACTATATAGACTGCCATATACTATCTACTTGGCAATCCGACTCCTCTATGCTAATATGGAACCGATACAGGCTTCTCTCAGTCTGACCTGACAGATGCCCTTCAAGGCACTGGATATGAGAACCAAAACCTGAGCAACATTCTCTTCCACTGTACGAATCCGGGCCAGATTGGCCATGCAAAGTTGTGTGATAATGGGTGTGTGGACCCTCCGCAGGAGGGGAGCCATGGATGTGATGGTTAAATGAGATAGCATGGGGACTTGGCTAGTGCTGGAGAGCACCATAAAGTGAAATGATTGACCATTGTTGTTGTATGAGATTGAAATCAAAGGTTGAGGTTGAGATTGGATTCACATTCGGAGGCTCAAGGCTGCCCGGGCCACGCGCGACACCAGTTGACGGACGCGCCCGCGGGAAGTTCCCTTCGCATTTTCCCACCCATCAGTTAGTGGCTGTTGCACTCATTGTGGCTTGCGAATTTCTGTGATTTCCAAACTATAATATATGTCATAATTAAATTCGACGCTTTACCATAATCATCTTCTCAGTACCTGAGGCATGCATGCGACCGCTACATTCGCACACAGACCAACGCGCAGCCGGCGCCATGAACGTACCCCCAACGCCCTGTTGCGTCTGCCGCTTAAAAAGGCGGCGATGTGACAGGTCTCAACCTAGTCTGCCCTCTATACCTATACCCATTGTAAGGTGGAGCTAACGCTAGCCAGCCTGTGGAGGATGCAAGAAACGAGGACTAGACGAACAATGTTCCTACCGGCCCGAGGATATGCCCCCCGCCACGTACGTCTGCGCGTGTATATGATGAGCTTGAACCAGCCTGACATCCTGCAGCTCCCATAAAAAAGCTAAAATATCTCATTCGGGTGATGAGAGTCGGTCTCTCTCCCCTCCGAGGCTACAAACCCTGCCACGCAATTTTCTCATTGTTGCCCCGCGCTCGCAGAGGAAGCGTCGACGGGATGAGTCCTTTCCACCCCGGCATGATCGAAACCGAGGTGACTCGGTAGAGGTATACTCCATCATCTCAGATGGCAGCGACCCTCCTAACCCGCCGGGCACCGGGATCAATGCCCACATCTCACGCCTGACCCGGCTGCAGCAGGCCGTGGATGCAAGAACAGGCCGGGTGAAGACTGAAGCTCCAATCGAAGATGGCATATTCTCGCTGCAAGATACAGGGCGAGACTGCCCTCCTCACTTGACCATTGCCGAATCTCCAGCCCAATTGCCCTCAGACCTGATGAACAGTCTGATTGCAACCTATCTGGCCCGCGACTATGTGAACTGGCCGATCTTCGATCTATCAGACTTCCAGTCGGCCCGTGAGAAGGTTGGCGACATGCAGGACCTCACGGCTGGGTCGAGTGGCCTCCACGCCATCCTCAAGATGATTTTGTGTCTCTCTGGACTGAGATACCATCAAGTAGATGAAGCCTATCTGCAATCTCTCTTCAATCACGCCCAGAGAATGACAAACAGCCCAGATTGGCAAGGCACGCCCTGGGTGCGCGTACAATGTCTCTTCCTACAATGCCAGTACCTCAACGCAACAGGGAAATCAAAGCAAGCCTGGGCCCTAATTGGCTACGCCATCCGCACCATGCAAGCCCTAGGACTGCAGCCACAGACAAACGCGCATAACGGACGGGAACGACAGCAGCGCGAACTCGGCCGCAGGCTCTGGCACAGCGCAATCATCCTAGAGCGAATGCTAGCATTACAACTAGGCCTACCACCTCAGGTCTCCAATCCCCTCCAGGTACATCTACCCACGCACCTGGACACCGACTACATCGACACCGTATCAGGCGGAGCGCCCAACTCCAGCGGAGACCGACCCTCGATCATCGAGCTTTTAATCGCATGCGCCAGACTCTACACCCACGTCGAAGAGATAACTGCTTGGGAATCTGAAGCAAGAATCCGACCAGACACCTGCGCCGCCAAGAAGCTCCTCGCCCTGGACCTCTCCCCATTCCTGAAAACAGATGCTCTCCTCTACGACTGGCAGACATCCCTGCCCTCATTCCTTCGCACCGACGAAACATTCGAACTAGCCGATGACCCCATTGTTCGCCGCCAACGCCACACCCTGCACGCCCGTTACCTCTACCTTCGTCTCCGACTTTATCGGCCCCTTTTAGCTCTGGGCCTCGCCCTGTCAGCCAAATGCACCTGCCGGTCAAACAAACACCCTCACATGTCGGAGACAGACCCTTCTTCTTCTATCAACTCCCCTATACTGGTTACCATCGTCCGCGACACCTCCCTCAAATGCGCCACCATCGCCGCAGACCTCGCCGACTTGATCGAAGAAACCGAGGACGGGCTGCTCGACGGCGGTCCAGATGATACCTGGCGCAGCGCTGGATCGCCATACTGGGAGAACGTGGAGTATCTCTATGCCTGTGGGATTGTTATCCTGGCGGCGCGGCTGTGCTCCAGCTCGGGCGTGGCGCAGCTGAAGAGGGCCTGGACGAGGGTTATTTCCTTGTTGACAAGGTATGAAGGTTTCCGGGCTGAGGAGTATGCTCGTCTTGCGAGATTGGGGAGGAACACGCTTGAGAATCTGGCGGGTGCGTTGCAGAGGGATGTGGGGGAGGCGATGGTGATGGGATTAGATGGGGAGACGAGGACGAGGTTGGTGGGGAGAACAAGTGGTGGTGCTGTGGACTCGTCGGGGGGAGGGTGTAGACAGAGTCGGGGTCAGGGTCAGAGTCAGAGTCAACGGGGGGATTTGGGTTGGGTTGAGAGCTTGTTGATTGATTTGGTGGGGGATGATGTATGATGTAAATAGATACCCTTTATGTTTTGATTGATGGCAGTTACGATTAGAGATCCACGGACAATATATTGTAGGATACACTACTATACTAGTGATTTGGTATTATAACACTACCAGTATTAACCTACTACATCTACTAGTGCGGAGTGCATTCAACCCTCTACCCAGATATCCAAACACAGCTAGTACTATCACTAATGAGATAGTATACAAGAAGGGATATATATTCGGTCCAATGCTCGCACGAAACCCGAACCGAACTCATAGTAGTACTACTATAGTTATTTACCTAACTCAGAATAATCATCCCACGAACGCCTCCTATAGTACGTTTTTTGACATTTACTCGTATAGATCTCGTCGTTGCGGATGCTATGACCCTGCCGACCTTTCCCATCGAGGGCGTCGGAGACAGCCAAGAGCAGCAACACAGATGCTGCGGTTCCCACCCACAAATCTGAACCTTTCATATGAAACTGATAACACATGCATATTTACAGTATATATATACAATCCTAGACAACTGCTTCAAGCTCAAGCTCAAGCTACTGCTTGTTCTCCGCCTCGGCGATCAGAGTCTCCATCTCCTGCTCCGTCCACCGATGGAACAGCTTCTTCGGATCCGACAACGACGCGTCACTCTGGACCGATTGGACGTGTAGCACGGGGACATCAAAATCATAGACATCCTTCCAGGGCTTATTGCTCGGGAGCTGGATATCCAACTCAGTGTAGTCGAAGGGACGGCGCTTGTGCAGCTTAGTGACGGTGAGTTTGGCGGTGTCGCAGAGGCCGCAATTGGCGCGGGTGAAGAGGGTGACGCGAGCAGCGGCGAGACGGGCGGCGGTGGGGAGCATGTTTGCCGTATGATAAGGATATCTAGATAATTAAGGGAAGCCCAAGTTGAAGTAAATAAATCAAGAATATAGAAACTTGAAAGATGGAATCGCGGGGAAGAGCAAGAATGATTTGAATGAATGGAACCTTCGAGCTCCCCCCGGCTAAGCCCGTTTGGGCCGAACCTCAGCGGCGGTTCTTCGACCTTCGATGTTTGCGACGATCGATCTTTTCCCCCCATAGACTCATTATTCCTCACCCAAGAGATACAGTTAAACTGTCGGTCTCCCTCTTACTCAGCTCTATTTCCTCTCATTTCACTCGCTTCCACTCCATTTCCCCAGCATGGCCTCCAAGTGTGTCCACAAGGGCTGCGGGAAGGAATTCACCGACGCCGACGAGCCCTGCGTCTATCATCCTGGCCCGCCGGTGTTCCACGAAGGACAAAAAGGTACTTAAAACAGATAACTCCAAGGGGGACCTTGGGAGCAGTTGATCCACTGTCTATTTGATCTTCCTGACTGAGTTCCACACTCCACACAACCGCATTTACATACTAACTGAATCACCCCGCAGGCTGGAAATGCTGCAAACCCCGCGTCCTCACCTTCGACGAATTCCTCGCCATCCCTCCCTGCACCACAGGCAAACACTCCACCGTCGACGACACCCCCGTCGAGGCCCCCAAACCCGCCGCTGATGTACCCTCACCTGCTGCTACTCCCGCCCCCAGCGCCGCCGCCGCCACTCCCCCGCGCCCCGTCAACTCCCCCGCCATCCCTCCTCCCTCGAACGCACCCACCCCTGTGCCCGAAGAACCTGACTCCGATGACCCGGAGCTAGCGATCCCCGCGAACGCGACTTGTCGTCGCCGCGGCTGTAATGCAGGCTACGATGCGAGCGTCTCGCGCGACGAGGAGAAGTGCGTGTATCATCCGGGTCAGCCGATCTTCCACGAGGGAAGCAAGGGCTGGTCCTGCTGCAAGAAGCGGGTGCTGGAGTTTGATGAGTTCTTGAAGATTCAGGGCTGTTCGGAGAAGAAGAAGCATCTTTTTGTGGGGAAGGGGAAGCCCCCGGGTGAGGAGAAGGTGGAGTCTGTGAGGTGAGTTCCTATCCTCTCTTTCTACAGCCGTGGGTGATTGCTACGGGGTGACAGTATACTAATATGTGGCGATTGATGTACAGGAACGATTTCTACCAAACCGCCTCCTCCGTGAACGTGTCGCTCTACCTGAAGAAGATCAACAAGGACACCGCCAAGGTCGAGTTCAAGGCTACGTCGATCGAGCTGGACCTCCCTACGACGGATAACAAGCGCTACACGGATTCATATGAGTTGTTTGCACCCATTGATCCCGAGCAGTCCAAGTTCCGCGTGATGGGCACTAAGCTGGAGCTGACGCTGGTCAAGGCGGACGGGACGAGCTGGCCGGTGCTGCGTCGTGATGACAAGTGGTCGGGAGAGAGAATCCAGATTGGAAATGCTGGTCGGGTGTAATAGCCTTATTAGATATATACGTTTATAATGGTGAGGGAGGGCCGGGGTGGAGTATAGTTGGTATGAGATATGAAATAAAAGTGATGACCGCATTGAGAAAAAGTGCCTTATCTTATCCGGGCAGCACTGAATCAAATCAACCTTAATAAGCAGGCAGACGACACTGTGCCCGATATAGTAAGGTGCACTGGCACTATCAAACATGATACTTGGTGCACTTCAAGGACAATGAAATCTGCCAGTTGACGAGGAAGACTTGCGTAGCACTCCGTCGCATAGAACTATAGTTCTGCGCCCATCAGCGCATGCCTTATGCTGAGCAGTCCACATGTCGAACACAAGCCCTTAAAGCCACGTGACATATATCGACTCTTGAAGAGTACAGGTTCACCACAGGCTACAGTATACACACCCCAATATCACCTATCGACAAAAAGAGGATATATATACAGCAGACAAAAGCGAAAAAACCTAATCTACTACGAAAACCCTCAACCTCATTCAACATAACGAACAAGATATCAAGTTCTTATTTTCAAAGTAATGTACCGCCTCCTCCACAGCTCAAGCGCATGGGGATTTTATCCTTTCGAACAAAAAACCCTAGCCAAGCCATGAATTGTAAGGGAAAAAGGAAGACGAGTATGCTCTGCAAGGCTGGGAACGGAGGAGAAACCCATAGAGAAAAATCCCACACAAGATAACCCTCAGCGAGCCGTACGGTGACGGAGCCCCGGTAAGATTTACTATTAACTTTAGGTAAAAGTAAACCGCTACTGATGATGAAGAAAGAAAAGAAAAAAAAGGGAGGCCGAAGGGGGGGCGGCCGCGGATAGGGGGGGGTTTATGTAGGGGTGGCTGGGTGGGGACGCTAGAGGCTAGTGGGTGACGAGGTGGGAAGGGGTAGGGTTGGGGTTTGGGAGGATCATGTGATGTTAAGAGGGTGGGTGGTTGAGGAGGGGGGGAAAATCACATGTGATTCAGATTGGGATCTATCGGTGAGGGAGGTGGGGTGTGTATTTTATCTTGGTATTGGGGTTTGGGTTTGTTTGATACGGAGTATTATGTGGACGGAGTATGTCTATGTTTACTTTGTCATGTGGATGACATTGATGTGTAGGATGGATGAGGTTAGGGTGTTTCTTGCAAAGGATATAATGGTTTAGCCATCTTCGAGATGTATGCGCAGGGAGGGAATTCTGCGTAGCAAGCTCGTTGAGAAATGTGTGCAATATGCGGAATATAAGCATCTACTTGCTTGGATGCTGTGATTAAATATGCAGTGGTAGATATGGTCTGAATTGGTACAAAGTACTACTACAGTATCGTATACTATTACCCACTATATAACCTCCTTCCAAACCTGTCATTCTACTACCAAGTGAGTAGCAGGAATGAGTTCCGACTTGCAATCTTATCTTGTTGCGTATGAATGTTCTGTATTGTAGCGATCAATACGCTGTTATCATACCCGCTCAACAACACCCCTGACCCCTGATGTCGCCGGCCAAACTTTCCAAGATAGCCAGTATCACGGAGGGCCTACAATGTCAGGCCGTGAACCCAATATTCAGCCCTCTGAAGCTTACTCTCACGAGTCTTCATGCCTTATTGAGCGGAGGGGTAACACTGGCGTCATCTCAGCGGATGGCCAGCCAGTTGGTTGGCTGCGGTGCAATCCTCAGAAGGCGGAAAAGGAGGGGTTCAGGGCCCGCCGCCGCCTTCCAATCAGTAAGTCGCTGGCACGAGACCAGCGGCGACATCTTCTCCTCCTCCTCTCCTGTTCTTCTTCCTCTTCGTCATTTCTCTAGCGCTTGCCTCTGAGAGTATCAATTGCCGGTCAATCTGTACTCGTAATCACCCCTTTTCAGACGGCTCACGGACCACACGGGAAAAGCAAATCTCTTCTGTTCTGTCTATCACTTTTTAGTAGGTACGTGGGTACCCTTGCTCTATATGTGTGCTTTAATCCAAAGGCTATGCCTTATCATGCCAATAGCAAACCGCTTGCTTCGTGTGGCTGACTTTTGCGTGGAAGAGTTCTAGAACGGCTAGACCCTGGTCGACTGTCGCGTATTGATCGATCACCGCCAACTTTTTTTTCCCCTTCCCTTCCTTTCAACCCCTTGGATTCTCCCAGAACCGCCATAATGCATTCAGAAAACCGCAAGCCTCTCCGTCACATTCCCTTATCATACAATCATGCCGATTCTCATGCTTCCGCGCTGAGGCTCATTTTGACACTCAACCCACACTGGGAGGGTTCGGACAACAAGATTGAGTTTGTCCGGTTCACGGATGGCATCACCAATACTGTGTGTTCCTCGCAATGTTCTCTTCGTCGGTGCCCGCTGTAAGGCAACACCGCCATTCTATGGGACTAACGTGGCTTCAGCTTCTTAAAATTATCAACCGCAAGCCCGGCTTGACCGAGGAGCAGATAGACCAAGAAGCAGTACTGATGCGAGCGTACGGTAACCACACAGAAATCCTCATAGACCGCGAAAGTATGCCACCCGGGGTCACTACTTGCCCCTCCTCTCTGCCCATTGCGACACATGCTGAGTAGATGCTTCACCTATAGGAGAAACGAGCTCTCATGCTCTTCTTGCCAGCCATGGATTAGCCCCTCCTCTTCTGGCGCGCTTTAACAATGGTCTCCTGTACCGGTTCCTCCGTGGCCGCCCAGCCAGCCCGGAGGATCTTGCCACGCCTTGTATCTGGCGTGGCGTGGCCAGGAGACTTGCGCAGTGGCATGCGGTGTTGCCCATCAAGGGAGCTGCCGCTCCGCTAATGCCCGCCGAGGATGTGTCCCTGATGCAACATGTAGATGTGGCCACGGCACACTGCCAGAAGTTGAAGCACGAGGATATCTCCGTGATCACCCCAAAGCAGCCTGGGCCGAGCATGTGGAGTGTCCTCCAGAAATGGATCCTTGCTCTTCCCACGAACACGGAGGAGCAGCGCCAGCGGAGACTTAGTCTGCAAAAGGAGCTGGAGCGGGTTGTCAGCGAGCTAGACGATGGAAAGGGCCTAGGCGATGGTGGAGTACGTAGCGCTAGTCCCTCTTATACGGAACGACTATTTAACCTCACATTAGTTGGTTTTCTCTCACTGTGACCTTCTCTGCGCCAACGTCATCGTGTTGCCCGAAAGCGCCTCTTCGGAAGACGAAACGGCTGTTGTCAACTTCATCGACTACGAATATGCCACCCCCTCCCCTGCTGCCTTCGACATCGTCAACCACTTTGCCGAATGGGGCGGTTATGACTGCGACTACAACATGCTGCCTACCCGCTCTGTGCGCCGCGAGTTCTTGACCGAATATGTCAAGAGTTACAGCCACCACAAAGGTATCCCAGAGTCATCTCAAGCAGAGATTGTCGACCGACTCTACGAAGATGTCGATCGGTTCCGAGGCATTCCCGGCCTCTACTGGTATTGCCCCCTCACTTGCATTTCATTAGACTACTGCTAATTCAAACAGGGGCGTGTGGTCACTCATCCAAGCCCAAATCTCACAGATCGACTTCGACTATGCATCCTACGCCGAGGTGCGTCTCGGCGAATACTACGCATGGCGCCGGGAGGTAGACGGGTCGCGGATCCAGGCAAACGAAGAGATGCCCCTCCGGGAGCAACGATGGGCTCAGGAGGCCTAATCAATGTGACCGTATATACTGCCTGCCCGACTATGTACCTCCCTCGGATCTGTTTGAGATAGCAAGCGATGATCGTTCCAGCGATAGCATAAGCGATTTAGAGTCTGGCCGTCTGTCAGAGTTTAACAAAAATCTTGTTGATGGGGTGCGGTATCCTCTAGGGACGGGATACAGGATGCACGAATATTTATATTCAACATATTCTTTCCACGAAATTTGGGTGGTCACTCAAATGTGGAAACGCCGCTAGGATAGACATGGCTATACTGCGGTTTTTGTCCCTTTTTCTTGTCTATAGTTACGAATGCTTGATAGATAATATAATCATTTTGCCATCATATTCTGCTGATACAAATCAAAGGACACAGAAACATACGTCCTTGACAAAAGGAGAGATGCTAACCAGTTTACTGTCCAAGGATCAACAGCCCCAGAGACACTTGATAGAATCAGATGGTCTATAGCAATCCACCCACTTGGGCACGGACCCAATTATAGAAAGTGGGTGGGTCACGGGCGCTAACGTTCATGACAGCTCCATAAAAATCTGTAAAGATAGTTAGAGGCAGCGTATGTCTGATGCTCTATTTTCCAAGAGACATGACGTCTAGTCTCGAAGATAGATTTGAGGGTGTCGTTGAGGTTCTCGCCGGAGGGCTGAGAAAGCATTGTTGAAGTGGGGGTGTAAGATAGTTGTATGGAATTCCCAACGTTGGTTAACCATCGTCCTATGCACTGCCACTGTCTCCTACATATGGTCGACCACACATCCTATTTGTCGGCAGTTGGATTTCCTTTTGATCCTAGCAATGTTTAGGTAACAACAGATACAAGATCCCGGTTGGTGTACCTTTCCATTAGGCATCCATGGTTCGGCTCCGACGATGCCTGCAAAGTATAAGCCACTCAATGTGGCTGAGACATGCAAGTTCGGATACAACTCTTACCGTTGAGAATGCACTCATTCTATTCCTGAACAAAGTAGCCTGATTGTCCCAATTTATTGTCTCTTCAAACGAAAAAGAATAATACAACAATGACAATAATTACAAGATATATCCCTCATGCCAGAATCATCACCACCATCAACCCTCCAAAGGAACAACCCATCCCCAGTCTACAGACCCTGACCCTGCGTCTAGTATAAAAAAAGCGCTTGCTTATCCGATAGCGCTCCTTGCCTAGTACTTACGCAGTAGCAAAAGCACCTGCGTCATTCTCCGAGAGTGGAAAATGTCCATATCATGGCGCAGCAATGCACGAATACTTAGTACTATGCAACTCCCCGGTGCTCATGATTGGTGCCTGTCACACGGGCGCTAATCTCAAACCTTCTCGAGCATTCAGCTTTGGGGGCAGAAGGGCGCTTGTGATGGATCGTCGCGCCGTCCCCGTGTATCACGGGCAACTCAGCCAGCTGCGATGCACCAATCCCCGCCCTCTACTAGTGACTAGCTCTCCTCCCCCCCGCGGCAACTGACTATGAGCGATCTCTCTCAGCCCTTCGAATGATTTCGGTCATGCACCCTGCACGGCTGGTCTGGGCTGACTGGGGCTAGACTATACCTACAGGGTCGATGGCTATGCGCCCTTTTTTTGATTATTTAGAAGCGCCCTGCAGCCTTGTCTTTCGTCTTCTGTTCTTAACCTTCCTGTGTTGTGTGCATTGAGTTTCGGACTTATTCCATTATTCAATTTCTAAACTTCCACTAGTATACATTGCCACATCTTGCCAACACGCACAGCCGAATTCAAAGCATGTCCGACGTCGTCCGCTCAATTACCTTCCAAACACCCCAGGAATACTACGCCGGCTTCAAATCCAGACCGAATTTGCAAAAGGCGTTCTGCGACATCGACGACGAAATTAATCTCAAGGCGTATTTGAAACTCTTGAAAGATTCTCAGACGCGTAATTTTGTGCTGGACTTCGGTAATGATGATGCTTGGTGTGCTGTGAATCTGGATCAAGGTGATGTTGCGGCGCTGTTGCGGAAACCTGTATGTGTTGTTGAATGGGTCATTGCGCATATGATTTGGAATGCTGACAAGGCTTAGAAACCGAAGTGTTTTGGTACGAGGTGGATGTAGGTTCTGGCTTTTACTATTGTTTTCGTTGCTAGGGATTGATCGCTGACTTGTCTATCTAGTAATATCTGGGCTCCGGAGCAACAGAAGGATTTGATCAAGACCCTCACAAACCACTATGGTGTCTCGGAGCGGCTGCAGGGGTTGATGTGTACGGACCCGGTGGAACGCCCGTCAAAGCCTCCTGTGCCTCCTGAGCCACAAAGGAATAACTTTCGCTCGAATGATCTCGACCGCTCGCGCCGTTCTCGTCCGGATGATGTGGAGGGAAATGCCTTGCAAAACCTGAGACATCCAGAAGAAATTGCGGCACTAGCGGCATTCAGAGGTATTACGTTTGGCAACGTCATTGATCAAATTTGGCACTTTTGCTCTGTGGATTATGGTGCACAGTGTATGCATATTCCTTAACTCATTGAGGCAGCACTAACGCGAGTCTAGATACCTGTGTCGGGTACAATTCGCTGTTCGTGATTCCTCAAACTGACCAGCATAATGGGAGAGAGTTGCCGGATGGGAAACGACTATGGACTTGGTTAATCTTGTGCCATGATGGTAAGTTATGCTACTGGTGGCAAGGGCATTTGTGCTGATATGTCAAGGGACGGTCATTTGCATGCAGGAGAATCCGTTTCCTGGTCTATCTGGACCATCGGAGAAGGAATTGCAAGCTGTACTCGGCGTAGTCCGCAGAAACATCCAGCTCATTTTTGCGGGTGTCTCGAAGCAGCACTTTGCCTCGTCGGAAAGCGACTCGTTGGTTACTATTCGAGTGAGGCCGTTTCTGGAGGGTGGTCCAGAACAGGTGAGCATCAGGCAAGAAGATGGTCCGAGCTTGTTGTTCTATTATATTTTCGACGACTGGGTTTCATCGTATGCCCTTGTTGCGCAACGCGAACATAAATATGGGGTATCGCTTAACAGACTTGTAAGTTCATGGTAGCAATGGCTCTGTATCTTCTCACAAGAATACGCTGACATTGTCCAGAGGCAAGACATGTTATCGAAACCGGAGGTTGACCTTGTCCACGAATTACATCGGCTGGGTAGACAGTTGGCCGTCCTGAGACGTCTCTACCAGAGTTACGAGCTTATAATGATGCGTATACTGCAGAGACAGCGTCTACTGCGTGATGAGGCCCGGTCAAATCGCCTTCCCATGGCAATGGGTCAAAGCTTTGCAGAGAATGATGTGGGAGAAACCCGCCGCTCGACGAGGGAGAGTTTTAGCCTTTTGACCCCAGATGCCGACGTAGGGGTCCAGTTGAGCCCACCTGCTGTAGCTCGGTTCGAAAGACTGCTCGATCGAATCAAGCTATATTGCCTGTCGGAGATTGAGAGCTGTCTGACAGAGAAGGAAAACCTCACTTTCCTTGTAGGTTTGCCCATCCCTAAATAAAGGGATATGCTGACCGGTTGATAGAACTTCAACTTGATTGCCCTGAAAGACTCACAAGCTGTTGAGAAACTGACACGGATCACGATTCTACTTGCAAAAGTGACCATCCTGTTTTTACCTGTCAGTCTGATGACTGGCTACTTCTCCACCGAACTCCGCAACGTCAAGGGCGAATATACGATCAATCAGTACTGGGTCAGCTTTGGTGTGATTATGTTCCTGTCCATGGTGCTGCTCTGGATTTTCGGATATGCCAGCGACACCGTGGAAGGCAAGACAATCTACCAATCGTTATCCCGAAGCTTCTTCCGCATGTCGAGAGACCGAGTCTCCCATCGTAGAAACGAGACACCGGGCGGCACGAGTCGTTGATCCTGATGCGTTGAGATTTATACACTGCAATAAGAGATACCCAGCCTTCAGAATGCATAGAACTGCTTTATAATGCACAGCTCTGCACGTAGGTGAACAGATTACAACTTACAGGCACCGCAAGACTATGCAAAGACCATCCGATGCCATGAATCTCAGCCAGGAGACCAGTCACATGTCTACTCCACTGCTGCTACTTTATTCCGCAGTGCACGTTTCGAATGGCTCCTGACAAGCCGTTGCTATGTGATCTGTTTGGCCAGAGGGATGTTACCTATCGGGTGCATTTGCCCCATCCAAATCAGGGTCCATCAAGACCCTACCACATGCTCTCGCAATTATTCTCCTGAAGGCCCACACCAGCAGCACGAGCCATGACGGCATGGCCTCGAACAACTATGGAAATCCGTGATACGAGGAATTGCAAATGACACGCTTCTAGGAGACACGGGGTGATGCGGCAATGGCCCGTTGCTATGAGGATCGCTTGCTTATCTGGCACGAGGGATGAATAATAGCATGACGCGTAGTGAGCTGAAAGTGGCCCCTGTGGGTTCCGAGGGCTTGCACGAACCCAAGTGTTTAACGCAACGGCGTACTTTATGCGCGTGAGACGATTCGTCAATCTGCGTAAGGGAGTGATTAGTGCGATGGCTATCGAATTACGGAATTTACCCTGGGATAGTCCTCATCAATTTCCCCAATGTTCAAGTGAAATTAGGAAAGACAAGACATGAGCACAAGACATCGAACAAGTAACAACCCTTCTTGACTTCCACCCCATAGTAGTGCCACCGAAGGCGATCCACTGGGACGGGGTACCCAGAAAGCCTTGTTCGGGAACCTATCAGGACTCGGAGTGGGCACCGATCCGGGTGTCTGGACCTTTCCTCGGAACCAAGAGGGGCCCAGGGGGGCAAAGGAAGGAGACAGATACTAGGCAGGCGAGTATATTGAGCAAAGCAAAGAGGCTGTGAACGGGTAGCAGCATTAGACCGTTGTGGGCGACATGAGGATAGGCAACGATGTGAAGCCCGTTCCATTTGGCGTAAAAACGGTACGGACTTGTTTCGTGGGTAAGCCGATCTCGAGGCAGCAACAGGGATTGCTTGATTGGTATCAACCGGGAATCCATTGACGG